TATGTCTCTCTCTCTCTCTCTCTCTCTCCTCTCTCTCTCTCTCTCTGGTGGATTTGATTTAATTCTTGATAATCTCTTCACAGTTTACCAGTATTATCAATGAGGCGATACAGGATATCGATCCTAGCATAAGGATTATCAGCGAGCCGGGAAGTTACTACGTAGCTTCTAGCTTCACTTTGGCTTCATATTTGCATTCCAAGAGAATCGTTTCGAAGAACGGAGAAATGATAAGAATGTATTATATGAATTGTGGAGTATACAATGCCTTTATAGAGGAACTGTTGGAACTGCGAGCCAGAGTTCCACAATTACTTACCAAGGTAATTTAATTTTCTTTCATGTATGTGTATTTACGAAAAACAAGGATTCTTCTGATCAATAGGAGATAATTATCAATTTATCATTGCAGCCAGAAAACGAAGAGAAATTTCTTTCGTATATATGGGGACCGACTGCCGCTTCGCAAGACTTAATTGTTAAAAATGTGATGTTACCTGAGCTTCATATTGGTGATTGGTTGGTTTGGAAAGATATGGGTGCTTATTCGGTAGCAATATCCTGTACGTTCAATGGCTTTCCGATTCCAACTGTGATTCCAATCATTAAAAAAAGTCAATGGTTAGTATTAAAAATGATAAAAAATGAGATATAGAATTCTCAACGATATTGTTATTCTATTACACTATATATTTATAATTTTTATAAATTGAATTATTAATATTTTCAGGGAAAGTTTTCAAAAGCAAATTGATTGTAGCGATCTATTTTCTAACTTTGCAAAAATCCAGTAAAAGTTGACAAGGATTAACAAATAAACAAATAAAATTTATAGCTATTTTAGAAAACATAATATATAATGAATTTAATTAATAATCTAAAGAATTAAGTTATTATTAAAATTAATCTGCAATATTTACTTAATATAAATATATGCATTAATACTAATCAAAATTTAAGGTAAATAAATTTTAATATATTTTATGAGTTAACTTAGAATAAAAGATTATAATAATTTGATATTTATCCAAATTACTCAAATTTATTTTTTTTAGTGAACAATTTATTACTACAACATATTGTTAACTTTAAAGCTGACATCTTTCATGTTAGAGAAGAGAACAAGATATTTTGGGAAATTTGATTATGTATATATTATATATTGTTATGTTGGAATATATGCAGTGAATATATGTAGTTATTAAAACAAAAAACCAGAGGATGAAAATGATACATTGGTTTTGAGAATCATATTTTCTTGTATTGTTTTATTTGTAAACATGGATCAAAACAAATTAACTTTGTGTAATAAATTAAATTATAATAAATTTGAATGAATTATATTTTCCCTTATATTCAAGTACAATATACATTATAATTCTTATAAATTATTAAAATTTTCTTTTAAAAAATAAAAAACCTTAAATTATTAAAAAATAATTTTTCTTTTTTAATAAGATATTTAGAAAATAAATTTCTATTACAATAATTTCATTTTTATTAATAATTTCAGTGACTTTGTATTTCGAGAATAAATTCTGACTTGAACTTTTCAAAGTTTGCAGAGAATGTTCATTACTATTAAATTAAATTAATTCAATAAAATCAGTATTGTAATTAATAAATTGAATTACATTTTACAATAATAAATAATTTTGACTTTCTCTTTATATTTATCTCTTTTTTAATTTCATTATTTGTTTTTAATATAATAAGTATAATAGAAAAAAATTCTCTTAGAAAGAAAATTAATAAAATAAAATAATTAATAAAAATAAAAATTAATAAAAATAAAAATATTATTGCTTATTGCAATACTGGCAAAATTTATTAACATATTATATGTTTGTTATTTTATGCAATATTACTTTTTCATATATTTTAATCTATTTTAATATTTATCATTTGTTGTAAATTAATTAAATGACAAATTTTCAGCACATATTCACAAAAACTATTTATAAAAAAATAATTTATTCGTTTAAAGTTTTTTAACTTTTTTATTTCGTTTTTATTTTATTTTATATTTTTCGATTAGCAGAGATATATTAAGAAAGGTAAAAATAGAAATAAACATAGTAACATAGTAACATACGTTAACATAGTAACATACGTTTTGTTATATTATATAATTATAATTATCTATATTATGATAATATTTTTACGATCATTGCATTTTTCTAAAGTTTTCATTTTTAAAGTAATTATAGCCTAGTAATTATAACAGGTAATTTTCAAAATAACAATCGTAAATTATTCCAAATAAATATTGTAAATTATTTACGAATAAGTATATAAGTAATTTTAAAGATATATAATAGGCATATAAATAATTTTGACAAAAACGAAGTCATCGTAAGAAAACTGCTTGATAAGGAACGTTGGTTGTATTATTTAGCCAGATGTTACAACGCGATTATATGATTATATTCTTATCAAAAATATTTTTACATGTTACTTACACGTTACTTACACACGTATCGATTAACAATACGATATTGGATCATGTAGAATAAATATATAGCAAGATAAATATGTTTTGGAAGAAGAGAGGGATAACAAAACATCAAAAAAAGATACAAGAGATGGCGATAGAAAGCAAGAGAATAAATACGAAGTCCGTTGCCGTTGGTAGTCAGTCGTCCCGAAAGTGTCAGTCAATCGACACGTTTCAAAATTAGAATATATCGGGATAACAGAAACGTGCCACGAAATTATCACTTATATAAAATACTTATAAAATACTTGGTGATTTAACTGTAAGAGCTCATTCTTTTTTCAAGATAATTCAGAAATATCAGCACATCAATTGCAGCCGACAGCTAAAAATTGACATAAAACTTGTAAGTACTATCAATTATTTTCTTGAATTTTAAAATATATTATAGCATAATATATATTATAGCAAAATTGTTACATTACTTGTATTCTTTTATGAAATTAAAATTATGTAAATGTAATCAATAAAATAATTAAAAAATAAAATCGCACTTTATTAAAGATTGGAAATAAATATCTAAGTAGATATTCTTTTCGTAGAAGAATTTTCAACTTTGAAGTATTTACACTTAATCATCATGCCGCATTTTGATTTCAAAGAAATAAAAGTCGTTGACGATAGCGTAAATGACATAGATGTTATTAGGGATGTAATTAAAGTTGAAAATTTGGAAGATGCCTTTTATGTCGCAGACATTGGTGATGTTGTTAAAAGACATCAAGATTGGATTAGTAAAATGCCTAAAGTTATTCCACACTATGGTATGTCTATGATTAATTGTATTCTATTTTTAATTATTCTGTTATTGTTCAGTTATCTTCGAAATGTGTTTGTTGTAATAAAGATCTCAGTATTATCTCTTTTCAAATTTCAGCAATTAAATGTAATTCACATCCGACTATAATTAAAGTCCTGGCGGCTTTGAATGCTTGTTTTGATTGCGCATCTAAGGTAAATCTCCGCGTCTATCTCATAAAATACTTAAATCTTCGCTGTTTATACAAGATATTTTTAAAATCTTTGACTAAGCTTCAAATATATTCTATCAACCTAAATAAAAAAATTCTTTCTTAAAAATTAAAAATTAAAATATCTTTAATAAAGGGATACTTTGTACGTTCACATTAAATCTCGCATAAATTAAAGAGCCACCTGTAGCTCGTAAGCTAATTAATGATAATGACGTTTCTAACAGCAAGAAATAGCGCAAGTAATGCAGTATGGCGTGCAAGGCGAGCGGATCATTTTCGCACATCCAAATAAATTGCCGTCTCATATCAAATATTCTAGGAAGTGGGCGTCAACAGATGACGGTCGACAGCGAGCTCGAATTGAACGAAAATTAAG